TTCTAGCAGTGATGATGTTACCTAGTTGGGTCATGAAACGTCTGCGAGAAAACCACCCAGCTTGGTGTTCCTTAACTTATAGCAACCGTTCGAAGTTACGACAGGCCTAGTTCAAGGTTACTTACACCCGACTTCTAAAGTACCAGTGGTTATTTCCAAGCGACCTGAAACCCTTTCATAGTGCTAGTATTTTTTTCTCTCCTAAACTTTCTCTTGTCTTCTTTTTCCAGCGGGAAGCTGAGTGTAACCAGGAGCTCCTTAAGCGCATCAAGCAGTGTCAGGAAAGGGAAACCGAGATCAAAAATACCCTTCAGGAGCAACTCGAGATCAACAAGACCTGCCAGGAGAACATCGAGGCCCTGAATAAGAAGCTGCAGGAGAAGGAGACCAAGCTGGCCGAGGCAAATGAAGTGAGGGCCGAGCCGTTGATTTGGCGAATGTGTCTTTGGTGTCATTTTGGAGCAGATGTGGGTGGATAGTCCAAATATTCCTTGTGTTTCAGGAAGGAGGTGACTGTTTAAAAAAAAAGAACGACACTGAGTGGTCTCTTTTCCTTGAAACGAACGGCAGCATCTTCTGATGCTTTAAGGCTGGGGCAGAATAGAAGCTAAGAAGCTATATCTCTAAGCCATTCCAGGGGAAGAATTCTTGGGGGCATAAATAAGAATAATTGGCAGTTTGAAATAAGGAGAAATTTCCTGACGTTGAGACCAATTAACCAGTGGAACGACTTGCCACCAGAAGTTGTGTCTGCTCCAACACTGGAGGTTTTTATGAAGAGACCGGACAGCCATTGGTGTTGGAATAGTATAGGGTCTCCTGCATGAGCAAGGGTTGGACTAGAAGACCTCCAAGGTCCCTTCCAGCTCTTTCTTTATATCTATCTATCATATGTCTTTATCATTTATCTTTATCATCTTGTCTATATTATCTATCTGTATCTGTATCTATCTTTATCATCTGTTTTCTATATCATCTGTCTGTCTATATCATCTCTGTTAATCATCTATCTTTATCATCTGTCTACCTTTATCATCTATCTTATCTATCTATCTATCTATCTACTATCTATCTATCTATCTATCTATCTATCTATCTATCATCTACCTACCTACCTACCTACCTATCTACTTTCTATCTATCTACTATCTATCTACCTACTTATCTATCTATCTATCTATCTATCTATCTATCTATCTATCTATCTATCTATCTATCTACTATCTCTATCTACTACCTACCTACCTACCTACTACTATCTATCTACTATCTGTCTGTCTATCTATCTACCTACCTACCCACCTACCTACCTACCTACCTACCTACCTACTATCTTATGGCAAGAAGGCCCGAAATCGGAGATAAATGGCAAAGCGAAGCAAAGACGTCCCGGAGCGACTCCGTAATTGCTTTAAGATGAGAAAAGCTAAAAAGCTACTTCAGATCTTCCCCCCCCCCCCCCAGCCCGCCTGTAATCTAGGTTTGAAAACTGGCTTACCAGCTCTGTGCCAAACGTAAGGCTGTCACCGCTGCTTATCCGTGGCGGGGAGAATGAGTACAAGCTCTCTTTTGAAAGTGCACGCAGGGAGGAAATGTCCATTCATTTCCATCCCTTTGATGGGGTTTTTTCTCTCGCTGGCGCAGGCTGCCTTTGAAAGTTTCCCCTTGCAAGGCCTTTTAGTAACTAACAACACTGGGAGGAGCATTGGAGGGAACAAAGAACGGGCTCCTGTGTGTTAAAAAAACACCTGGATTAATGTCGTTGGGTCTCATGTACATTTTAGCCTTTGATCGGAAGTTTACTTCTTCGCCACTCAGCTCAGAATCCACAAGAATCCGAATCTCAGAATCTTTGTTTCCACAAAGATGAATAGAATAACTAGTTATTATTCCTTGTGTGTCCAATCACACTTGGCCAATAAAGAATTATATTATTTCTTTCTCTCTTCTCTATCTATCTATCTATCTATCTATCTATCTATCTGATTTGATTGCTTATTTTACCCTATAACTTTTAAGTGTTGTACCTTATGATTCTTCACTCTTGAATGCATCTTTATGTACACTGAGAGCATTTGCAC